AGGCCCCATAAGGCTCTTCTCAACCATCCACATAATAATAAAGTGTGTAGTGTCAATATGATTATTTTACCACTCCCGATCGAGTCAGAGCCTCCCTGATCTGGACTCCAGCTAAAAGGTCGGGCTGCCTCCATCTGAATACCTGCAATAACCAACGAGAGCGAACATGAAGACAACTATTCAGCTAAACCGACAAAACTTACATCTTCTCCTCACACATGTGGAAACATCAAGCATCTGATCTAGTTCATTTCGAAGAGGAGATCTGTGATAACGCTGCAGTGTCTCCTGTTTTTTATCTTAATTAAATCAGTTACGATTTTTCTTCAGATCAAAATAAAACCATTAAGTTTGTTTTTCAAAATGATTTCTAACGAGAAACCAGGTCTGCAACTTCTAAACATTTTCAGTTTTCATTGAGTTAAATGCTGGATTGTAAAAGTTAATGACACCTAACTCATGGATATGGTGTAAATGTTTGTCTCTCTTTCACAGGTTGAAGGAGCACTGAGCACTTTGAATAGACAAACACACACACACACCGTGCATTGAAACCACTAGTCTAAGCCTGAAATGGACTGTGTGTCAAGACAAAAAATGGACTGTCACTGACACGAGACATGGACCTTAACCATGCACACACACATGCACGTGTAAGTGTTTGCGTGTCTGTATGTTTGTGTGTGTGTGTGGAGAACCAAAACAGACCTGCAGCTGATCACTGGAGTCTGGAGGATTTACCTGCACATCCTTTACATGCACACAGAAATGCACACCTGCTCTGTGCGGACAGATTAGAAGTGAAACACACTACCTGCTCGGTCTTCTCAGAGGATCGACGGACATAAAAAAACTGGCCTTACCTTGATGTGTATATTAAGACTTTAAACTACAAGTGACAGTTATTTATTTTGAAGCCTTTGAAACAGCAACTTCCATCACGCCCATTTCTTTTATGGATTCTTCTGACTTATTTTATTGTTATCCAAAACCTTACATGGTGATCAAAAGTGTGGTTCATGTTCTCCATAGGGGATTGGATTATTAGCCATGATGTCATAACCATCACAGGTAGACTTACCAAGAGCCATCTGAATGTGAATCGAGGGTTTATGCTCCTGCAGAAGACACAAGTTCTGAAGTCTCAGAGAATAGCACTACACTACCCACAATCCTAGAGTGTGACAGCTAAGTCTCTGATTGGTTGTTACCATGGTAATGTTTACCGCCCCTCCAAACTTTCGGCTGTCGGCTCCTACTGAAGTTTATAAACAGTATATACAGTATATCAGCACTTTATAAGAAACAATATACACACTACACTAAAGATTTAGAAAGATACGTTAAGATTGTTGAGGAAACTTTTGGTTTTGGTTGATTTTGGCGCCCCCCTGTGTACTGATGAGTACCTCTTATTTCAAAATTCTGATTTGTCCTGTACGTGTTAGTTTTGGGGCTTTTTTATTTTATGCTGTTATTTAGAGATCGAGGAGAGAGAGCTGGGAATGACATGCGGGAAAGGAGCCACAGGTCGGATTCGAACCTGGGCTGCTTGCTTGGAGGCCTCCATACATGGAGCGCGCACACTAACCACTACCCCACTGGCATGCATCATATGTGACCTTTGAGCTCAAAACCTGCAAAATCTAGAAATCTGTTTCTGATATTCTGCGTAATAAATGTATGTAACAGTGCCCTCTAAAAGATCTTCTTTTCCCTCTTTCAAATATAAAACTGAAAGAATCCTGTGGACCAAGAGTCAAAAGTGAGTCATGCTTTTGTAGACCGCCAAACCCCCCACCCCCTCCGTGCTGTGAGGAAGTTGCTGTTTCTCAGTGTCACCTTCGCCTTACTGAACCAAAGAGATTGTAGTGATCATGTAGTAATTTAAAAAGTTTATATTTTTTAAGTTATTCTTGTCTGCTTTGTGGTGATTTTTTTTTTTCTCGTCTGTTTTGAACTGAAGGCACCAAAGTTGTATTTTTATATCTAATCTGATAAATGATGTGTTTCTGCTGTGTCGATGGGTGAGAGATGTTATGAATGTAACTTAATATATTTTTAAGTGCAATGTTGTTCAGTTGGTGTTTAAATTATCTCTCTCTTTATATATCAGTGATCCTGTGGGCTTAGACCATGTTTGAAATGGTAACTTAACTAAAATAAAACAGTTTATTGGTGATTATTTTGCAGGTTTTTTTTAGAAATGATTCCGTCAATTTATCGGCTGTAAACTGTATACAAGTAAAAATCCAAACACCATGAAATGTTATGAACATGTAAATGTTAAACTCTGGGATTATTTAAAGGTGGCAGCATTTTCATAGTGAGCCTTTTATCAGACCGGGACCGCATGTCGTGTGTTTTCAGCCCGTACTTGAAACGTTGTGTGCCTTCGTTTGTTGTCACTTCTTTTTCTTGGGGTGTTGATTTTGTAAAGAAAAGGGAAAAAAAATCCCCCTCTCGTGATTGTGAATGAACTTCTTTAAGGGACGGTTCACTCACTCAGTCACTCAAAGCATTCTGGGTAAAATAAACCGTGTGCTTTGTTCACTTAACTCTTGCAGGGTTGTGTTTTTGATAGCGTCTTACTACAGCGGAGCTAAATCTGTCTGATTGGTGGCGTGGAGGGGGCTTCAGGCTCAGCTGGAGGTGGCAGGTGTCAGCCCAAACGATAAGCTCCTGACAGTCAGAGACCCACTCAGTGACACACGCAGACCAAATATCACACACACACACACGAGATGAGATACAGCAGGACTCCACTGAACTCAACCAAAATGAGACCCCATGTTTAAGTCACTTTGTTTTACGATACGGCCATATTAACAGGAAAGCAAAGGATCTAAACGCCAGAGCTTGGTGTGACAGAAAACCAGTAAAGGCCTCTGAACTAAGATAACTCACTGGTGTTTGGGTTAAACCTTCCCTCAGCTGCAGGATTTAATGTGGCTTTATTGCAGTAACAGTTTGATCTGCTGGGTGTTGCAGTGACTCATCAGAATAACAGCACAGCCTGCTCATGCCCTCGTTTCCCCTCGTTTTCAATCCTGATGATGGATGGATCATCCAGTAAAGGCCTCTTAGATCAAATCCAAGGCATCTCCACTTCTCCACAGTTTATCTTTTTAGATTTGTTTTCCATTTATCTTCATTATTTCAGACACCTAAAGCATTGCTCCAAATCCAGAAAACCCTCAAGTGTCAAAAATCAGCAAAAACATCAATAAAATCAGAAATACTTTATTATTCCAGAGGGGAAATATGAGCGTTATAATTACTCCTACACCGAATATAATTATAAAGATATATACATATATGATCAGACATCCTGAATGCTCTGGATTTGTTTGGACCAGATAAGGTAGGCGGCTTTAAGGCGCCCCCACACAGCCGTTTTGGACGCCCTCGGTTTGCCAGATATGAGAGCAGTTATCAGGTCAAACAAGAGAACTGGTTCAGATAGAAGTGATTGTACCCGACCTAAAAAGCCTCTGCATGTTTCTAATAAGCTCCACGAGCAGAAACGTGCTCAAACTAGGATCAATATTGAAGATGCTTTTGAAAAATGGAGAGAGGTTAGAACACAGAAAGGTTTACAGACTGATGCAGAGCTGGATAAACACTGAAGCTTCAGTGTCCACCACATGACAACCTGCATGAGCATCGACTATAGAGAGGGGGGGAGACAGGTCTCTACAATGTTTTGAATTTGGGCTGCAGTACCCATTTTAACCACTAGGGGTCAGAGTTTTGGGTCCTGGTTTTTGCTTATACTGACGTTAACAATGTCAACAACTAACAGGAGCACTTAATCGAGCACCAAAACAAGTGTGCAGCAAACAGGTTGATAGTAAACTAGCTTCATGCTGTTAGTATGATGTTCACTTTTGTTTACACGGCATAGCAATCAGGTTAATGCCTTTTTTTAGCAGATTTCTATCTCATAATGCTAACCTGGCTTCCCTCAAGGCCTCAGTCACCGCAGATAACACAAACATCTTCTGCTTCTGTTTCCACACCATTTTCTCTTCTTTTAAATTTCTACAGGGAGCATAGCAAGAAATAACCTCAACTGAAACCTACCTTAGTTGTAGTCCTGAAATGTTTTTTTTTCCTGCAACATGATCAAACTGTGACCAGAACCGTTTTGACACGTGCACTCCTGAAAATGTCTAGATCATTTCAGGAGAACTGCTCCTCAAATCCTCCTGATCTGGTTGTTCACACACACCTCACAGAGAATTTGTCTTTCTATCAACGTGTAGTTGAACAGAATCACAATCTGAATTAAAGAGTGGAGAAGAACATACTGGAGAACCGGAAACATGATGCAGCAGAATAAATGCGAGGAGGCTGGAGGAGAAACTCCAGGTGAAGAGAGAAACATTCAGCTGTCTGTGTTCACACATGACGCTCAGCATGAAAATATCTGGAGTTATTGTGAATTAAAGGGATCGTCTTTCTCAAATTGACTTACAAATCACCTCTCAAGAATAGGTATAGTTACAAGCTCTAATGGCCGACTGATTGTTAAAAAATGACAGGTGAGTACCTATAAATACACTGCAGGTATAAAAATCTTATCATGATGTGTGAATAAAATGTCATAACATTAATTGTTGTTGTCACCGAACCATCTGACCTCTAATCATCCATATAAACCTGGTGAAGGCCCTTTATAAACTCTCAGGTAGAGTGACGCTTCATACCTGTGCTGTCCTGCTGTGTGACTCGGTTCTGGCAGTGACATCACTCCAACTTGTCTCTGATTGGTTCAAACGCAGGACTTTTCTCCCCGCATATACTGCACGTAAGTATCAACAGACAGAATTGGAAAAGTGTAATGTAGACTATTTGTATCATTCGGTTCAAGTGTGTCTCGGTGTGTGTTGGTGTAGGTGAGCGCGCGCAGCCCAAGGAGAAGTCGGGGGCGGGGACGCGCGTGGACAGGCTTTATGAGATGCTGTTAGATAGCGCGAGGTGACAGAGAGCAGAGAAGAGGACACACACACACATACACACACACACACATACATACACACACACACACACAAAGAGTTTGTACCAGTGTGTTTCACTGACAGGTACACAGGCAGGCAGGTGGGATGTTCTCGGACCGCTGACTCCGCTTTCACCCCCTCCTCGGTTGGTTGTTTAACGGAGGCGGGAGTTGGACCGGAGCGGTGACACGGAGCCCGCAGCAGTAACCGCACAGCGACGCACCGACTCCGGGGAGAGGAGAGGGGGATCATGGGCTCCGCTTCGTCCTCATACCGGGTCATTTACCTGGACGTGGACGGCAGGATCCAGAAGGTAAGACACAGTGTGCTGCTGACACACGAAATGTTGAACGATGCATAAAGCAAGTACGCTGAATTAACCATAAATGTTATAGTTTCCCTGCATGGAAGAGACGGCTATAAATACAAAGCATAAGAATTAGAAACCAGAGGAGGAACATTGTTTTCTGCATTTTGACGTTAAAGTCGAAATGACGTCAAAGTCGATCTATGTGCGTGGAAAATAAAATAATCCAAATGTCAACAATAAGGATGCTAAAATGAGATGAAGGTGTTAATGTCAAGAATGAAGGAAAGTTTCAGTAAACAGGACAGATATGGCTACAAATTAAAGTGTGTAAATGTCGTGAATCAAGTTAAAATGAGAAGAAGTGAAATATTCAGGAGTCAGAAAAATAATACCGAGTAAAGCATCTGTCGTTTTTTCATCTTTGTCCTAACAACAAACCATCTTCCTCATCTGTTAGTTTCTAATACAGTGGATCTCAACTGGTGGGTCGGGACCCAAAAGCGGGTCGCAGAGCAGCTTTCTGTGGGTCGTGAATGTGTGTGTGTCGCTTGTGGAAAGCGCATTTTAAACATGTTTGTTTTGTTCTCCACCGTCTGACGTCCAAACTGAACTTTTGAAATTCAGATCATGATTGTTCATGGAGGAGTTGGTGGCAGGTCCTGAGGCTCGACCAGTTCAGAAACGACACAATCTGATACATACAAATAAATATATAGGCTACTTTGAAATGCAAAATGTAAAATAAAATCATCTTATTCTCTTTCGTACCTGGCTAAACAAAGCTCCACAGAAGGTAACATGCCAGCTTCCTTATAAATACTCGCCCCTAACAGGGTTTATTTTGAAGTGTCCTTCACATAGAGAAGATGGTTGGCTGAAAGGTGACTAAGGAGCGGGATTAAAAGCATGAAAACATTAGTAAATGTTACCAAAAGATAAAGGGATAGACACTTTATAAGTGTTTATAACTGTGTAAATTATGATCTAAAGAAGCCCTAAGTAAGTCCATCCTTTTTATTTCACTCTGTTTTCCTGCAATAACAACGGCATTTCAGTTGTTTTTATTTAAGGACTCGAGTTATTTATGTTGTTATCTAACGATAAAAACACTGCTGACTTCAGTTTAGTTGTTTTCTCGAAAATCTAGAGAAATTTACTTTAGCAAAAACCAGCGCTGCTATCGAGTCGAAAAATCTCGAGAAGTCAACGGCACATGACTCTTTTTCATCTCTCAAATGGAGTTGGAGAAATGGAGAAACTGTGCGTGCTGAGTTTGATTTGGATCTTTCCCAGAGTAGCTATCCAAAGAAACATGAAACATCTGATTCCTGTTCGAGCTCAGCGATCATCTCGTCCTCTTTTGTTGTCATCGTGCCGCATCAATGCTTACAAGTCCCTCAGCCTGAACATCTTCCTGTTTGTTGCAGAGAGTTTACCTCTCATGATAACCTCATCATCATCATCATCATCATCATCATCATCATCATCATCATCATCAGGGAGTATCAACATCTTCTGCGTCGGGAACAGACATGTAGAGTGAACAAGATCATATTTTATTTAAAGTCTTCCAAACCTCCAGACTCCATTCACAAAAACTGTAATTTTACCTTGCAGAACGCAGAGGTTTCTAGTCGACAGGTGCCTCCATCATTTAGTTTTTTGGATAAGTGGGTTACACAAGAAGTGTGTTGGATCAGAACTGAGAAATTAAAATATCTCGAGTCGCACAAAAACCCAAACAAACCAACCATTCAAGGCTGCTGTCGATCAACAGCTCGCCTGTCCTGCAGGGTAAAATGACTGTTCGCGTCAAAGGAGTTTGGTGGCTTTGAACAGCGTGATGTCACATGATCGTCTCCCACTCTCTCCCACTCTCTCTCTCTCGCTCTCTTTCTCTCTCTCTTTCTCTCTCTCTCTCTCGGGTTGAAGAGTAACTCAGACTCTGACCTCCAAATACACTTCACAGTTTGTGCATTTAACCCCAACATGCACATCTTACTTTATAAATCAGGTTACAGAAGCACACACTGGAGCTGTCGCGTCAACTCTCAAGACTTCTAATGTTTAGCCATGACGGCGTTCTTCATCGTGGTCAGCAGGATCTTTGAATAAAACGTGCACACTTTGAAATGTATCTGCAACGAAAGCAAATGTATGCAAACGACACATGTCAGCCACAGATGACCTTTCTGTTACTTCTTGTTGTTGGGTCCTGCAGAGTGTGCACTGCTGGGAATAACTGATGAACAGACAGCAATGATTTTAATACGCATGTGATCGGAACTAGATTAAATTAGGAGTTAAAGACGATTAGAAAAGCATGAAATATGAGACTTAAAGAGCCAAAGTTTCCAAAAGTCGTCTTTCAACCGAGGCTGCAACAAACCAGGATTCTCACAGAAGCTTGTTTGGGTCTGTAAAGGTTGAAAAAAGGTGCAAAATATTCATCAGACTATCCAAAGTCAGCTCAATGAATTCATGTTTCTCTTCAGCTCTCTTGTGATTCATCTCCCTCTCCCGTTTCTCTTGTTCATTGTCACACTGTTTGTCATATCAGTTTAAAGGCAGGGTTGGTAGTTTTCTAAAACTCCCCTCTGTGCTCCCTCTAAAGCCACGCCCCTCACTTACATGCACGAGTGCCGTTTCTCCAGAAGCGAACCTCAGCTCATCTCTTACATTGTGTAGAAACTACGTCGTCTCATGTCTCATTCAGCGGTAAGTAAACTCACAGTGTAAACTCCATCATCGGTGACGCGCTTTGAGTGTAGGCTAGTGTACGCAAGAGGTCGAGAGGGAGCAGGGAGACAGGGAGGCGTGTAATTGGTTCATCAGATTGGTACCTCGTGGCAGACATTGGTCAAAGTTTTTACAGGCTTACAAACTGCTACAGATGACAGATTTTCTTCGTTCCTTTTTCAGAGCACGAATTGTTAATTTCTGTCAGGACCTAAAGACAATTTCAACCAAAATCTTAAAAAGTGGATCTGGAGAAAATGACCAACCCTGCCTTTAAAATGAAAATCTCAAAGACAAGAACCAAAACACCTCGAGAAAAATCACAAATGCTGCTTTGACCGCAAACAGAAATCCTTCTTGTGTTTTAAAGAGAGAAGCTGAATTCCCTCATCGAAAAAACTTGCCTGGACGACTCCTTCAGGCTCAGAACAGAGAGCAGTGCACACTGAGGATTATTGGTCCCATTATTGCTAATAGAGAAGCTCTGCTCTGCTGCCGTCCATCTCCATCACCACACTCGTGTGTCGAGCCTGAGCTCTGTTTACATTGACGAACCAATGGAGGAGGAACGGCAGCTCATAAAGGAGGCCATATAACAAAGTTATACTTCAGCGACACTTTGAATTTACTGCTTTCTGTCTTCTTTATGGAGTCCACACAGACCTTGAATGTGTGTGTGTGTGTGTGTGTGTGTGTGTGTGTGTGTGTGTGTGTGTGTGTGTGTGTGTGTGTGTGTGTGTGTGTGTGTGTGTGTGTGAGCTGTTATTTCCTCACTGTGGCGCTCGCTGAGAGGATGTTTCCTTTGTTGAAACGACTCCTACAGCTCAGAGTGTTTTAAATATCAGACAGGGACATGTTTGATTAAACTGCTGAGAGTTACCTATCACATCTGAAGGTTGTGGTGTGTGTGTCTGTCTGTGTGTGTCTGTCTGTGTGTGTGTGCAGGTTGTTCTGTATTGACGGTCGATATTATCGAGCTGTGCCTTTGTAGGTCGCTTGTTGCCAGGCATGTACATGCTATGTAACAGATATGACAGCTCGGATCAGGTTTGAGGTTGAAATATTAGATTAGTTCTAGTTTTAGAAGGTTACATGCATTCATTCATCGGCGTAATGATGCCGGCGCTCCTCAGATGTCACCCTCAGATGTGTGTTCACGTCCCTGCTCTCTCTTTGTTTACGTTGTATACCTGTTGCATATTCAGCTTTTCTTACTACCTGAGCTACGAGCTCTGCCTTATTCTCCCTGCGTTCTCTGTGTCCCCTTTGTTGTCCAAGAATAATCAAACTCTGGTTTAGCATGTCCAGTTTTCTTTTCCATTAGCATAACAGTGGATGAGGCTGCTTTTAAAGTGCAGGATCATCATCCTGAGTGATGTATGCAGCAGCAGCAGCAGGGGAGCAATTATGATAAAATGGGGTTTGTTATTGAAATCAACTGCAGCATGTAAAACACAAGCACATGAATGTGTCTCGCTTTAAAGCCTTTGAGAGGGAGCATTAGTCTTTTAAACAAACGGAGTATTGAAGTCATCAGATTCATGATTTAGTGCAGACACAGACTCAATCTGAACAATCATATCCACAGGACACTCCTGCTGCACGCTTATATGCAGCTGATGCGTTGCTCGTCGTCATCATGTTGTGTCCTTTAGTTCTTTTCTTTTCACCGTTCTGTTAAATGGACAGCGAATGTTGACAGAAGTACATGCAGACACAACCGACTCAGGAGGGCAGCACAAGATGGAATAAACGAGAAAAGAAGAGCACAAATTGAACTGATTAAACGGACAGTACATGCTGATTTCTGATCAAAAACTCGAGCATGGAAACTGGGTTCAATTTCACATATCTTAAGGTTTAAACGAGTGGTTCTCAACTGGCGGTTCGGGACCTAAAAGTGGGTCGTGGGAGTCGTTGTGAAAGTGTGCCTGGGAATAACATGTGTCACAGTCTGTGAAGCACTTTTTAAAGATGATTGTTTTGTTCAGTTTCTTTGTTCTGACGCATGTTTTGTTGTCGTCTGAGGTCCAACCGTTCTAATCTACTTTTGATAAATCTGATTGGACTTGCAGGTGGACTAGTGGTTAGTTTGTGCACTCCATGTACGGGCGGTTGTAGTCATCACAGCGGGTGGCCCGGGTTTGAATTCGACCTGTGGCTCCTTTCTCACACGTCGTTCCCCACTCTCTCTCTCTCCTCGATTTCCGATTCTATCTGCTGTCCTGTCTCTACAATAAAGGCACAAAAATATATTTTTCAAAAATCTGACTGGTTGAAAAATATCAGGAATTTGGGGTATCGATTTCTCATCCAGGAGTTGGTGGTGGGTCCTGATGCTAGACCAGTTAAGAAGACAAACAAGTCAGCACACTTAAAGTGTGCACAAAGCCTTGATCAGCGCCGATGAAGGCCTTGCCCTGAAACTCGTCCTTTGTTGATCTGTACGCAGCTGCTCTACCCAGACAATCCAAACTTTGAGGAACATTCAGTGTGCTGACTCGGCTTTTTGCAGTCGTGCACCTGAAGATTTATTACTGTTAAGAGTGTGCTCCTTTTTCTGCTGTTAAAACCAGTTGAGTTAAAACAGCTAATAAATGATTTCTGGAATAGCTCCAGCAGATTGCTTCAGCCTGCATGTGTGTATGAAAACATTACAGAAAGGATCCCTGCAGAGATAAACCTTTTGATTTCATGTGGATCCTACTGATATCGATATTAGGAAGAGAAAAAATCAGATAACGATATATCGCTGATATCTTTCTTAGCTCTATCTTCTACAGATCTACACATTCATTCCCATTTTACTCAGATGCAGTTATCAAACACACAAAGATTTATAATGAAGACAAGATGGACGATAAACTGGAAAGTAACTGAGCATGTACGTGCATCACTGCTTGACACTCTGGAGTGATAATGTGTGTTGTAAGCCATATAGCGCCCTCTGCTGGTAAAAGAACTGCTAGTGTAATACAACGAAACTCAATTTAAATGCTATCTGACCAGTGAATGAATTGAGTAATATCGACGCATATCTGAGATTAAATTAGCTGATACGGATAGTCACTTGATATGCTGATATCGGCTGATATTATCAGTTAGTCGATTAATCGGTCGGGCTCTTTTGACAACATTACCATAAGGATCCATATAGATGAAATTGTTGAATTTGAATTGTATTTAATAATCACTGAAGGGGTCTGGCTTTACACTCTGTTATTGCTTCTCACACACATGCACAAACAGGACCTACGATGTCAGACTGAGCTACTGCCGCCCCCAAAAAATCATAACTTTATTTTGCAGTAAACGGGTGTTACTTATTTTTCCTTGCATCGGCCGGTTAATCTTCTCTAAAAGCCGGTATCACACCCATACTGTGTCGGATTTCAGTTTTGAACAAATGATTTAAAACACAGAAACACTGAAAGATGAAAGCAGTGGCGGATGAGTGCTCTGCGAGGTACAATGACTGTTTTGGTAAGTGGAGTCTGGTGGCTTTGAAATAGCAGTTTCTGTTTTTTTTTTTTTTAAAAAAGCATCTAAAGCAAATAACTAAAGGTCTCTCTCAGCAGGGATCCTTTCTGTAAATAAAATTTTCATTTTCTGTAATTTCATTGAAGCCAGTGAGTCCTGTTTCTGGTTAAAGCATTCTCCTGGAGCTTTTCCAAAATGTTGTGTAACTATTTGTCATTAAGACCTCCCCAAAATATCTAAATTATGGCTCTGATGCATTATCTGCTGGAATAACAGTGGGTCACATTGTGCACTTATACCCAGCATTTCATGACAATAAAAATCCTGTAGGAGGAAATAATAGCCAAGCGTCGAATTGTGGATAATTATACTGCATGAAGCTGAACAAATCCAGGACTACAGTGTAAAAAAAAAAAGAGTAATCTTTTCCTGCTGTGTTTGAGAGCAGAAGTAAGCAGAAGTGTGTGTGTGCATGTGTGCGTGTGATGTTTGTGAAGTGCTCTCTGCCCGCTGACCTCCACCGGTCCCTGTCTCCTCCACCTGTGACAGGCTGCCACCACCAGACCGCTGAAGAGCTCTTTGACCTCTCTCCTCCTCCACAATCATCTCTTCATCCGCCCTCCTGACAGCACTCGTTAAACCCTCCCCCACCTCTCTTCCTCCGCCCACCCCCCCCTTACGCTGCCAGTCCTCCCCCCAGTCACTTCTCACTCCCACTCGGCTGTTTGTTGCTCTTCGATGCCATCACATGCAAATGCCTGCATTATCTATGTGGGTCATCCCTCGCTCTGTATGTTCACAAATCATTTGTCATGTTCAGTGACGGAGCACGACCTTGTTTTCGGAGCGGGAGGAGGAGGGGAAGAAATGAAAAATATTTACTGTCACCGAGCTGCAGCGTGCTCAGGCTTTAATCAGAGGAAGAGCCCCGAGCGTGGGAAGCCCTCACGTTCAGACTCAAGAGTTCGTCCCCAGTGGTTGGTTGCTCCACTTTCACACACATTGACTGTTTGTGAAAGGAGAGCTGTAATATCCTGTTGAAGGAGGTCTGCGGAGGTTTAATAAGTGGCTACATAAGAAGAGAAAAATGTGCTTGTAGAAATAAGAAAAGGAGTTAGTTTGAGACTAGATTTATTTGAATAGAGTTAAAGTCGACTTATTCTGCTGATCCCCATTTAAACTTTCATAAAGTGTTACGATGCTGGATGCTCAAACTAAACGAGGGCAAAGTGTCAGATCATGAGGTAGAGGAATGTTGGAGTAATCCCAGGATGAGTCTGCAGAGGGCGCTAACAGTTTCTTCTGTAGATCACAGAAGTTCCCCCGATATGAAACAAAGAATTTCACCAGACGGCTTCAAGCCTCTACGTAACACAGTGGAACCTCTTACATAGACTCTATTCTCCCAGCACTGGAGAGCAGCCCTCCCCTGGCACCCCTGCAGCGTTCTGACAGCTGGCTAATCAGAAGAAAGTGTGTGTGTGGGGGGAAGGGGGTAAAGAGACAGCAGCTGAAACAAAGTATTCAAGCAGATCCTGAAATGTAAAAAAAATGAAGCCAATGCTGAAGTGTAAAATTCTTAACAAAAAAAAAGAAAAGGTATTGAGTAAAACCTGAAGAAGAGCAGATAGACAAAGAAACAGAGATATATCTAATACCTTTAATATCTGTTAGTTCATCACACGTTGTTTTCCTGCCTCATGTCCATGTAAACAAACACAATACACCTGAGCAGACCTTCCATAACTTACAAATGTGCTAGTCTCCGTGTCCTCACTGGTCATGAGGACGCTTTTAATGTGGATTTCATATTTTTTTATTGCATCAGCTGTTTTCTCATGGATTAAACGTCCTGCCCTTATCATCCTGTGTTTGTTTTTGTGCCGTTACCTTCAGGTGGTGTTCAGTCGATTCTGCAGCCCGTGTGACATTAAGGATCTGTTCTGTACAGTGCTGGGTGTGGCGAGGTAACACACACACACACACACTCATACACCTGTTTTATGTGACATTTATAAGATACTCATAATGTGTGATGGACACAGTGGAACTGTAGGCTTGTTGTGGTGCTGCTATACAATCAATAACGTGTCACACAGTCTAGTTACCATCATTAAAATTCAATCGAGCTCAACTGTTTGTTTTCAGGTTCAGCTTGGCTCCTGTTCAGATTTATGATGCCGTGTTAGAGGAATGTGTCTCTGCTTTTAAAACAACCCAGATCTCGATACTCAGGCTGATGTAGGGACAAGTCGTTCAAATATAAAACCAACAGGATGATGCAAATTAATTAATTAATCCCACGTATGTTTGTACTTTATAGAAGAAATGTGTGATTTTAAGATAACGTATCTTTGTGCTCATTACTCCGCTAGAGACGAGAATAGGGTTGCAAAATTCTGGGAATTTTCAAAGTTGGAAACTTTCCATGGGAATTAACAGGAATTAATGGGAATTTATGGGTATAAATGGGATTAAACCAGGAATTTACAAAATTGAAGGTTGGCCCTTAACAGGGAATTTAGCTATATAGTTTGGGGAAATATATTTGAGAATAATCTTGACTAAAACAACCAGATTCCATGCAAGTACACTTGAATATCACATGCACATAGCACACTGCTTACTGCAGCGCTATTTAAGGCCACGCCCCCTACATGAACTGTGCATTCCTCCATCACATGCACAGATGATTTCTAGAACCCTGGACCACACTTTAAGCCCAGAGCACAAGACTAATGAAGCCACACATTTTTGATTGTTCAATAAAATAATTTAAACTTGATAAAGTTCTACTTACAAATAAATCTGTTGAAATGTCATTTTTTTTAATTGTATTATTTTGCATGGATTTCTGCTTATGACAAAACAAAATGTTTATATTTATACTTGGATATGATACAGTTTGATTAAATTACCCTCAATTTCCAGTTAATTCCCATAAATTCCCATAATTCCCATGGAACGATTCCGATTTGGAATATTTCCAAAATTCCCCAGCTTAACTTCCAAGGGAAAGTTTACAGAAATGTAACTAAAATTTACTGGAAATTTTACACCCCTTTGCAACACTAGACGAGAACGTATATGACCTGAAGTCTCTTCACACACACCTGCCCAGGTGTCTCACAATAGAAGAATTGTTCAAAGTAACACAGAAGTCTGAGCTCTTCTGAACGCGTCTCTCTGTTTGGATTACAATAAAAACAAAAAACTCCCCCAAGAGGAACAAATTAAAGTGAATGTCATGATGAAAGGTGAAGAAAAATACACTGACAGAGTTCTGTGTGTCTGCTCAAAACAGGAACAACACTGCTGGGTTTAACTTTCATTTTTGATTTAACCAGGACATAACTTTCTTCAAGAGTGTCCTGGTCGAGACGGGCACAGTTTACAGTTTCAGACAAACAACGAGCAGCCACACATCAACCAATCATTATTTATATAGCTCCAATTCATAACAAGTGT